CAGAAGCCCAGTGTTCCTCCCACTGTAAAGCACAATCTTATACTAGCCACTGTAGGTGTGATTAAAGTTAAAAGATTTCTCTTCCATAACCTCACCAGAGGGAGAATTTCCTCTCCTACAAAGATGTGATTTAAAAGCATTGAATCAGATGGATTCATTCCCTCTGGGCAGGGTCTTGCAGGGGCTCTGCCTTTTCAGCACACTTTATGTACATAAGGCACTCACATGTAATAGATATAGATGCCTGAGTGCACCCAGTTCAATAAGAGAGAGACAGGCAGCTTAATAACAGGGAAACCGATCAGCAAAGGACTGGGGAACAAGAGAGAACAGTAGTTTCACCTACATTTACAAAACTGCTGCAGGAAAATGCAGTAACAATCATTTTAGCTCAAGCATCTGTCACAGCCTTCCCCCCTGTAATTCAGGTATCGCATTTCAGCGAGTTGGCAAAATAATTATCTTGCTCAGATGAAGGAATAAGACCATCCACACTGAACTGCTGTGACAAGAAGAAATTCAGCTGACTTGGACCTTTAGTAGCACATCTGAGCTTCTCCCTGATAGTTGCTTTAAAGAACAGTATGAGCTGTTTCCAAATCAGACTCTGCCATGGCATCTGTGTCTTGTCTTACATAAATACACAGTACAAGAGCGGAGCAAAGCCTTACTGAGCTCTGGAGTGAGAGTGCCAGCCTCTTCCTGAATCTCCCTGCTTTGGCAGTGACTGGAAGGCAGAATACAAGCTTACAGCTCTGAGACAGTAGTAAGGAAAGAAAGCAGTCAGGAATAACTCATTGAAAAGGATTAAAAAAAAAAAAAGAGGAGTAGCAAAAAACCAGAAATATTCACATTTGCACAGAATGTGTTTGAAAGAGAAAAACAAGACAACAAAAGCCTAATGGCATGTACAGAAGTTATCAGGTAAGCAAGAATTGAGTAGAAAATACACAGAACATAGCTGGATTTTTTAGGTTTCAAACTCTCAGTATTTTTAGTTTTCATTGTTAAAACTTTCATTCTGTAATTTAGCATATAATCACTTAATGGCTTTTCTTACCTAAAATAAAAAAAAAATCCTTATGATAAAGGATTTACTTTCTCCTCTGAGGTACATTACATCTCAAATCTAACAGAGAACAGGTTGTATCAAACCTACACAAACACTGATGTGTATGTTAACCCAAGGTATCCTTCAATCTCAGCAAGACTTTTACTTCTGTCAGTTATTGCTTAATTGCTGAGTATCACCTTGTCCTTAAGGCAGAGCACAAAAAGAAAAATGCATATGAAAACTCTTTGACGAGTGACATTCTGGTGAAATGAAAAGGTCACCTATAATAGCAAGTCCAGTGGTAGGAACAGTTTTGGTCATATTCCCCATGAATTTCCCCAGCAAGACAACAACACCGATGTTACGTGGTCCTAAATGGACAACCTAGAGAACAGAGAGATTTCTAGGAACATTCCAACCTATATTCCATGATTCCACATCACAGATTTAGTCCTAGACGTGTTTGTTGTGTCCCTTACATATGAGGAGTGCCAGGGCTACTATAGCTAACTGTTCACTTTGAGATGAGCCAACAGATCTTAATCTGCACAGCTTCACAATTAATTGGCACTCCAGACATCAGTAAAATGGTTGGATCAAAGAAACACAGCAAAATGACTGACAAACACTTCCCTCTGGACTGACCCAACTTTCAGTCAGTTATACTCATTAATAAAGTTGCAACAGACTCGGTCACCCAAATGCTACTATCCTTTTGTATTTCTTCATACGTGTTACAAACACTTCAATTAACATGTTAGGATCTGGCACTGCCACACACTATAATTAAACTCATTACTTCAAAAGAACACTGAGCATATAACAAGTCTTCAGCACTTACTGCTCCACAGAAAGTCTGCAATGACAACATCAGCACCTCAGCTGATTTGAGCATCAATGGAAAATGATTAGCCTTTCTGGCTTGAAGCCAACAATGATTAAGGCCCAGATATAATTAATGTTCTAGGTCGATACTGGAATTAATTCACTTGTGCCCTGCACAGATCAAGCTTTCAAGTCGGCTGCTGACATCTCCCAGTGACATCAGCAGAAGAACAGACACAACCCTGGGAAGTGAGATCCTTTTCACAAGCCTTGTGCACAGCATCCCACACAGGTACAGCTCATTTTGAATGCAAAGCTTAATATTATTTTTTTCCTAGCAGTTTTCAGGAGGTAAAGAATATTACGTCTCTTTGTTCTTGCAACTACAGACTCATTGACCTGTCCATTTGGTTTTGAAAGTCCAGGAGCTGGAGACCACTTCTGCTCTCATATATATCCTGCCTTGGGAAATAGCAGCTTTGAATCTATCCAAGTTCCAAAGCAGGGAGTTCTTTTGCTTCCCACCACTGTACTTTCTATTTAAAAGCAAGCAAACAAAAAAGGGAATCAAATTCAAATTAAAAATGCTAAGTGAGATTTCTGTCTGTAGACAAAGTACAGACTTCAGGTCAGTCAGGTTTGGCTGATATTAAACCAGAAGGAGAGGATTTATTTTCTGTGGCTACCTGCAAAACTATACTGAAAGATTCGAGCCCAGAGCCTACTTTTAGGAAGGCTGTTCTGACAAAATTTGTTGACTTGAATGAATGACAACTATTGCAGCTGTCTGATTTAAATGCCATTCAAAAGGAAGTTTTTAAAGTCATGAGTTCTGACACTATAACAAAAAACACTACACAAAGTATGGGTGAGCTGGTGCCTACCTGAGCTGGAGCTCTTCCAAGTTCCCCAAGGCAAGCAGGGAGCTTCTGGCTGCAGCACACACAGCTGCTGGAGCCCTGAGCACTGCCAGGTGAGCAGGGGTTGGGCTCCACAGCACCAGGAGAACTCTTCTGCAGCTTGCTGTGGTAGATAATAAGAAGATTGAGTATTTCCCAGGAGGAAAAAATAATTTGACCTGCTTTATTAATAGCAAGGGCAATAACCTCAGGCACTAGTGCTGGTTATGTGGTCTTTCATCAGCGAGATATTGGAGTGAGTCAAGTTGTGCTCCATTCTTTACATTCTCTAGAACAGCCCTGAAAAACATGCTGCATGAAAGATGCCATGAATCACCAAGAAAATGGCTTGGTTTGGAATTGCTCATCTTTCTTAGCCACGTATTGTACTCTGCTGTTCCACGTGTGACACCGCCTGCTGGGCTGAGCACCAGGAGCTCATCCTGTGCCATTCTCTCACATCTCACTGCCTCCCAGTAACACTGCACATCCAGAACAGAGAAAGAACATTAATTTTATTTGAAGAAAAAAAAAAAAAGGAGCAGCCCTGCCTCAGAACAGCTTATCTATGACCCTGCTCCCTGCAGTGTGACTGCCAGTGAGCAGCGGGCTCAATGCCCTCCAATCCAGCCCTTGAAACAAATGACTTCAGAGAGAACACAGCTCTGCACTCTGAATGGCAGCCACCACCAGTGACACACACCTCATCTCTGCCCTTCGTTGTTTAGTTTTACTTCATATAATTTTTTCCTCATTTTGGCAGTGGAAATAGGGACCTGTGCAGGAGCAAAGCTCGTCAGTGGTGGCAGCTGCTGGCATTTCTGGGTCCAGCACAGTCAGCTGTGCTGAGAGAACTCAGCCTTGTGCTCTGTGCCCTAATGCACCACAGACACACTGGTTAGAACAAGCTGTGATTACTGCACCTGTATTCCAAGCCACAGACCTACACTCCTTCTGTAACTGTTGCACACCAAAATGTGAGCTTTTGCCATGACAAAGCTGGAAAAAAACACATTCTGAGTTCTAAGAAGGGTGTTATAACCAAAGTAGTTAACATTTGTGAGGAACTTTGATACATTTGTTGAGTGATACAGAAAAATGAAAACATTCATGATGAGTGGTTACCCTTCTCAGGATTGGGCCTGAAAATAATCTAACTCAAATAAAATACCTGAAGAACACCAAGTGAAAATACCAAAGAACACGTGCTTTGTCTGTGTTCTTTACGTATCAACGTTGCAATTGGCCTACAGTGTGACTAGGTGAATTTTTAATTGTAATTTATCTTTTGTACAGTCCACTTAAAATAATTCTGTATATCTAACTATAACCACCAAAGTAAATTGCAACCCTATATCTCACCTGCCAGGATAAACTAGAATGTTTCAGGATCACCTAAAACAGAGCTGTGTTATACTGCACATGATGCATGTACACTGCTATCAGCCAGAGATAGCAAGTGGAGAGACGTGACAGAAGGATTTCTAAACTTCCAGCAAACATGGGAACAAGAATGCCCATGGAATGCACATCCCTGCCCAGGGCAGTGTAAGCATCTTTGGGATTTTCTCTTTTTCTCTGTGTGCCCCACAGCGACAAATGTTCTACTGAAAAATGAAGAAAATTCACTTGCTTCCTTAACGCCATGATGTTGCCCTTGAATGCAACACCTACCAAATCTAGGTGACATTTGTTAATCTATTAATTATTAATCTATTAATCTAGAGCTACCCATGGTAAAATTGTGCGGCTATGCGAAATTCTACAGAATTAGAGCACTCCAAACAGGAGTCAGACTACATGGAAACGTTTGAACCTTGGTCCCTACAGCAGGCAGTTCTCAGACCTGAACAAAAGCAGCTTGTTGGGGACATACAATGAATGGCTCTGTCAAAGAGTTAATTTTTCAAAATCCTTTAACCCTGGGAAAGAAGATGAAGTGACAGTGACTGATTAATGAAGAGGTCATCTAAAGGCTGATCGGGCTACCAGGAAATCACTTGTGTTATTTGCCTTCATCCAAGTGGTTGTGTAATTTCACTGTATTTCCTTCTGTAACAAATATGACAACAAGGAATCTGGGCAGTCCTTTTCTGGAGGCTTTCTTACTTGTTTGTTATCCATTACTATTAAGCAGAACCTAAATCTAGACACCAAATTAAGTTTCTCTGATTTCCATTACATTCTTTATAAGTCTCATCGTTTTGTGGAAAAGCAAATGCTTCAAAACATACAAATACTTTAATACATAAATGACTTCAAAGTTCATTAAATATAATTCATTCCATGGTCTTTAAAATACTCTCTCACTAACTGCAATAAAAAGCTTGCACTGATATTTATATAGTACTGATTTAATCTGGCTCGTGCAAACCTTTTCAGTATACTGCAGGCTTTATAACGAGGACCAGCAGAGCACTTTGAGATGTAAATGAAGAGATGATACTGTCAGATGATAAAGTGAGGACTAAAGCTGGAGGAGCTGGCAGCGACGTGGTGGGGCGTACAGAGGTGACACCAGCTTTATTGAGATGCACCCACCTCAGGGCAGTTCTGCTGCAGAGTGCTGTGGGAAGAGACAATGCATCATGCCATGATACTGTGCAACAGTAACAAGGAGTTGTGCTGTGGCTTGACCACAGCAGCTGATGTCTTCTTTCTACATTTTATTCCCCCAGAGGCTGGATTACTCATAGATTACAGGATTTATTGCTTTTTGACTTGAAGTGTTACACCTATCTTCTCCCATATCTCCAGCGGATCTCATACTTAGCAAGTGGAGCCAATCAGACTGACTTAGCTGGCATCCCACAGCTGTGGCTGCTCTCCTTCATGAACTCACACTGTCATACTGAAATTTCATACAGCATGAATTGTATTTCTCAATGCAGTCTTCAGAAGAAATATTTACAGTCTTTCAGAGAAGTGGCACAAAACCCTCAAACGTTCTGAAAAGAAAAATGCAAAACCAGCACTCATGCTTTGGACTTTCGACAATGTTCATGGATTGTTTTGTAGTACAGCTCATAGAAAGAGGCAAAACATTAACACCATCTCCAGGATAAAGAGGTCCTAACAGCTGTGGGTAGAGGTTAACTTTGACATACCAAGATGGGAATCAATCAGTAATAAATAAATAAATATATATACACACATACATATATTCTGATATATAACATATATGTGCATATATATAATGTATTGTATGCATATATAATACATGTGTTTTGTATAAAAAAAGTTTCACATTCAAGTATAGATACACATTAAAATATACAAGAGGGGGACCTTTTGAAGTTAACCTTAAGCAGAGAATCTATCATAAGCAGAATTCCTGATAGGATAATTGAATCCTGTTTTGACCAGTTTCAAAAGGCAGTCAGTTCAGGTGGTTCATGTTCCATTCATTACTGAGAAACACAAGATGGTGAAAAATATCATAAAAATGAAAGTGGAAAAAAGTGACAATGGAAAGTTAGATGCAGTATCAAATGCACTGATATATACAAAAGCCCTTCACTGCTGTGCTTGGAGAGAACAAAAGTGGTTTTTTAGTTTGGCCCACAATACAGCCCCTCAGTTGTTTGATGGTTGTTTTTTTTTAGTTATCAAATTATCATAAGCAAAGGAAAAAAAAAAAACCAACCTGAATGATCAGAAGAGAAAGAGTTGAAAATTAAAATAGTATCATTGGCCCCAAGAGATAATTCACAAACCCTGATAAATGGCTCATGAAATGAGCCAATGGTTCGTGCAGCCTTGTTCTGCACCTAAAATATGAAATGTATCGTGAGAAGAGAGAATATAGGATGAAAATTCTGAACCTCTGTTAATCCTGGACTGATTCAATTTCCAAATGGAAATTCCCTTTCTTGAACTCCTATCATTCTTGATCTTGAGATTGTTGAAATTGTGATCACAGAATCAGTGAGTAAATTATCCTGATTTTTACAAACTTAGAGCATGAAAATACTAAATGAATCTGTGTAAGTTTACAACTCATTGTTTCTTCTTGACAATACAGTACAATTTCAGAACTGCAATCAGAGGCTTATGCAAAATAGGCATGGCAAAATACAGCCACAGTCAGTAGGATGATGCCATTGATATTCACAACATTCCTCCAAAGTGGCACTTCTGATGTGTCAGTCAGTTTCTTCTTCAGTGCTTCCTCTTCCTCCTTGCTTAATTTGGGTCCTTTTTGTTGCTCTAAGCCACAGAACCAGTTGTAAGCTTTCTTTAGGCATCCTGGGTCTTCACTCTCCTCTGAAACTGGAAGGAATAGCATACTGGTCATGAAATGTAAGCATGGACTGCTGCGTACACTACAAGTTCTCTGTGGCCGAGCTCCATCCTATATTTAATATAGTAGCTCTGACTTATGGTCTTACTTGCATGGAAGCTTTTAAATACAGTACAAGGCTGTACAAGAATGAAATTAATATTGTGTTTTCACAGCTCACCTGGAAAAAAGCGTGATTTTCTAAATACTGCAAGGCCTTTTACAGCATAGAGACTTGATCTTGTACGTGAGAAGCAGGTCACTCTGCAAAGCTCAACCTGTTCATTCATTTTTTCCCTACTTTCTATACTTTTAATCAAAAAACAAATAGATGAATTATAGGATATTTATGAAAAGGAACTTGGCAGCAGAAGGAGAAGCCCAGCAAAGGAAGCAGGAGGTTTTGCTCAGATGGATGTCTGGCAATTAGCTTTCCTTTTGTCTTGCACCATGCCTTGCTCCTTCAGTCCTTGCTACTACGCTCTATTTCAAAATGAATTCTCCTTGTTTCATTGCAAGTGCCAGAGTTACATGCAGTTCTGCCAATGCACACCACTGCTAACATAAGCCTAGAACTGGCACCTAGCCTAGAATAAGTATTCCTCCTGTCACTTCTGATCTGCACTAGGACTCGTGTATTTAAAGGGCACCTTACTAGCCCTTTGAATCTGGGCTGAGGTTTTGTTGCTGGAGTGTATTGTTTTATGAAAACTATGCATGCTGTTGTTTGTTCAGGAATGGAATAGGGATTCTCAAACATACTGATGGCATCTCAGATACTGCAACAGAAATTACTCATCAGTTACCTGATTCCTTATCTTTTTCATCAGGTTTCTCCTCCACATCATCTGCATCAAGATCAATACGTTCCTCTTTGCTGTTCCGCAAAGTCCAGCACAAGCGATAAAGCTGCCATTAAAAAAAGAAGTTTAAAACTAGATCCTGAGTGCACGGAGACCACAGCATCCCAAATGTCTGTTAAGTCAGCGCCTTGGATCGTTAGGAGTCACTGAAGCTCAGTGACAGATAAATGAAGACTATCTCCTTTGCTTTCTTACAAGGATTATATGATGCAGACAGATGAAATGTGACAATATACCAAGTAACAGTATTTAAAACTAGTGGTAAACTTCATTTCTCCAGGAGCAGAAGTGCAGTAATACTCACATGTACATCAGGAATTGGCTTAGTCATGAAGGAGACTGCCAGGATAACGATGGCAGAAACCCCAAAAAGAATAATTGCAAAATACAGGTAGTGAATCCCACAGATGATGAACGGGCAGTTGGAAGGGGCCACACAGCTACCAGTTCCGTAGACAAACTCTGGTATCATTCTACCAAGCCCGGCCAGCAGCCCAACTATCAGGCCCCAGAAGGCACCCTGCAGAAAGGGACAGAAGTTAGCAAAAAGGGCACACTGTAACTCCTGAAGAGCTGCTGGGGAAACATGCAGGTTTGACACATTATGTTGACTTTGGCAATTTCAGCCATTCCATGAGTTCATGAAGCCAAATAACTAACGACTGTAACAGAAAACTGGAAATCCCAATGGAAACATATTCTGGTTTTCATGGTATATAGATAGTTAATAATAAGATTTAATAATAATAATAATAATAACAACAATAAGATAGTTAATTCAATTTCTAGCTAAAATGTTTCTGAACAAGAAATACTGATAAATCATATAAACAATTACAATATTGGAGTTCATTTTATGTATTTTAAGCTTTGATACTTATCTGTACTACTCATCCAGCTTTGAAGAATGCGGTGTACACAAACACATGAGGATTATATTAAATTCTAACTCTGGCAAAATTCCAGCTGCAATCACAGATCAACTGCAGATTTCCACAAAGGGCACACAGATTCAACCCATCTGTGAGATGTATCTATACTGGGATAGCACATGGAACATCCCTTTGTGCACAAAGCAGGATCTTTTGGACAGACACACAGAGAACCACTGAAACGGTCTTGAGGGAAAGCAGTTACAAAAAGTTTCAGGCAAATTAAAAAACAGGAAGATGCCTTTTTCTCTGTAGGCTTTCTCATGAAACCATTTCTTCTTGGAGCAAACCTGAACCATTAGCAAATATTATTCCTAGCACTATAGGAAAGAAACTGAAGTCTTGAATATTGAGTCTTCAGAATGTCTGAGAGAGATCACAGTTAATGTGGCTGGCTCATGGTCCCAAAAGCATAATCCAGACCTCATCCCTTCGAGTTACTTACTTAAATATTTCTCAATTCACTGTTCTAAAAATAAAAAACAGCAATTCCTAGAATGGATCCAAAAAGCAATGGGAAATAATGGAGGAAACAACAGTGCATTTGTTGAAAAGTTTGCTGACGAACAGAGCATCCAAAACAAAGGTGAAAAGTGATATGTTTGGTTAAAAAAAAAAAAAAAAAAAGATAACTGAAGCAACATGCAGCTTCATTGTTTCCTGATTTGCACTTGCCTGTTCATTTACTCGCTTGCAGAAGATGGCAAGCAGGAAGACAGCAGCAATGGGAGGTCCCAGGTAGCTGGTAACTGACTGAATGTAATCAAAGAGCTGCCCGCTTTGAGCTGACTGCACCACAGGAACCCAGGTGATGCTGATGCCAATTAAAACCACCATAAATGCCCTGCAAACATAGCCAGATATTCCATTAGCCACCTGCTAGGAAGCATCTATCAGAAACAGCAATTAATCAATAATTTAAACGTCTATTTTGTATTTCAACCAGTGAAATCAATGAAATGGCCAATTACCATTGAACAAACAGAAGTAATTCAAGTTGTGCATCATATCTGTCAAACACCCGTCATCATACAGCTAAACATGCAATTAAAACACAGAAAATTACTTTTTTCCTTTGTTACGACTAGAGATGAACCAAAAGCAAATAAGGTTGAACTAGTTGATTGATGCTGAGCATGGTGTAGCATAAAGCCTACAAAGGTATCTGTAAATAGTTCCCTTTGAACAGCAGTAGGAAGTAAGTGTTGAGCATTAGTTTAGCCACTGTCTATTCCATTGGATGTAAGGTCTGGAAATTATTATCATAAAACATCCAGAAGGGAAAGCACACATGGGACAGCCTGCCTGGCCACAGGAGGCCACTGCTGCACTGCCTGAACACTGCAAATGCAGATTTTCACTCAGGCACTCTTTGGAGGCTTCTCAGGCGTGCTGCATTTCTGCCTTACCTTCCAGCTATCATAAGCTCTTTCTCTGACGGTTGTTTTCTAATTTTGGTGTAAATGTCCATAGTGAACAGCGTACTGGCACTGTTAAAAATGGAAGTCAAGGAGCTCATAAGGGATGCCAACATGACTGATAACATCAGACCTCGTAGACCTGGAAAACAAAGACATCCCATACATTAGGTGGGATGGGCATTCAGTGAAGCGTGTCGATACACAGCACCATCCATAGAGACTGTCTGATCCCATCAAGTCAGCCAGCTACGTGTATGTCTGGCACGTTTATGTGCTGATGTCTGCCTGCCACTCTCTTGCAATGCAAGCAGAGTGATGCTGCTGAGCTTTGGAAAAGCTGTTTACAGCAGTGAGGGGACAATGCTTGAGCTTTTAGAGTGTAGGTACTTCCTTTGTGAGCGCTTTCAGATTAGATGCTGAAACAAAAACTAATAAGCAGACTTCACCCACAATTATAAAATCATTTCTCTTGAATTCAGTGCAGTGCTCAGTTGCCTGTGATATATTTGTAAATCAGATAACAAGTTTCTTTTACTGATTAAACATCAGGGAAAAACCACTTTTCCAGGCAGCATGATCTAATCAGCATAGTATGGGGAAGTATGATGGTACTTTAATAAGACTATCTTCAACATCTATGAAACAATGGGGAATTATAAAGAGATCAAGGAAGTACCATGGTTTGCATAATACCATAATCTGTTTTCTCTAGCCTTCTGAATCAGCTCTGGTTTTCTGCAGTTTTTGTTTCTTTCCCCTATGCTTAGTCTTCTACGGATTGGTGCCTCACTCTCTCACTGAACAGGCATTACAGGACAATGTTTTCTCCCACCTCAGTGGGGCTGGCATAAGGACTGCAGGTGTATGCCTGCAACTCGGAATTCCCCAGTCCTTTATAAAACAGGTGAAGTAGGTTACTGTTGACCTTTGCAGGGAAGGGGAACAATTAGAATGTCATTGCTCAGTATCTGCTAAGAGCTGACATTGTCGGCATGCAACTGTTCTGCACCCACAGCCACAATCAATTAGGATTTCTCACCCCTTAGACTAACAGTAACTATTTTAGCAACACTTTTTTTTAGCTAAATCTGAGACTTGGGCTCTCCCTCACTCATTTTTACAGTCTGGCAGCCTCGCCTTTCCTAAAACAGCAAACAAAAATAGTGTCTTACCATTTGGCATAAGTTCTACTACCATTTTTGGATAAGCAATATTTGTACAGCCCACTGAGGTGCCACAGGCCTGCTGGCAGACTTCAGGCACAGCACAAGCCACCACATCTGAGAAGAGGATAATGAGACACGGTTAGACAAGGTCATATTAACAAACATGCACTGAACCACTGGACTGACACATTCTATATCATCCTTGGTCTGCTAGCAGGATGGAAGGTGATTCTAAGCCTCCATTTTCCTTTTCCTCTCTAAAAAAAAATACTAAAAGTTGCTGCAGATCAAAAAACACCAGAATTAATTTGTCAGATCAGAACTCAGTAACACGAGAAAAGCAAGTCAAATGAAAAACAGAGGAACACCATTTTCACTCAACCTAAACACCTCTTCTCTGCCTGTGGATTCGCTCAGTGCAGTCCGTATTTGTGCACATATGTGCCTGAACAACTGTATGACAAGACAACAATCTGACAGGTATTTAGGAGAGAGAAAAGGAAATTGAGAGAAATGGCCAATGAAAGATCGGCAGCAGGAGGACATCTGCATCCCTGTAAATATGTGTGCATACCTGCATACAAAATTCGGCTGATCATTCCAGGCATCACTATGATAAACATGGGCAAGAGCTTCAGGTACCCACACATCACACATCCAGCCTTCACATGGGACATGTTCTTGCCAGAGAGACATCTTTGGACAATAACCTGTCAATGAGACACAACAGGCACGCATGACTCAATCAGTACCACGAACACACCAAGCCACATTCCAGACACCAAGTGCTCCTTAACCTGTGTGATGGTGAAAGAGCCCATTTATGATTTCCATCACCAGGAAAACATAAACACTACGTGAAAATACATTTAAAATAAGTCAAGGAAAATAGCGTTTATTCAGCACGTGTTCAAGAGCCAATACTCTTTTGTTCTCAGAAGTTATTTATAAAGCAAGTCAAGAGACAAAAAAGAAGAAAATAGATATTTACATTGCTTTTTTAACTTGCTTTATAAATTGTGAAAAATTGTCCTTCTCACAATTCAGAAAGCAGAGAGATCACTCTCTTCAGATTGAGCATGTATGTATGTCACACTTTTCTACTTTCATGCCAGTGTGATCTCTCTGGGAAGCTGGATGATAGCTCTTAGGGGAAGGAAGAGGGAAATGGTGAGAGTCTCCAGACTGAAAGACCAAATGTGCATGCAAAGGTGGAAGCCACACAAACAGGAAACAAACCAGGATCGCTGAATGGGGAACCATCCCCGTCCAACTAAGACCATTTGATATGAGGTTTCTTAAGTAAATGTTCACATTACAAACTCTCTCCTTGTTCTTACGCAGAATTATAAATTAAAAAAACATGAGAAAGGAATTAAACACTGTATCTTCTGAACAGTTTATAAGAAGAACCGAAAGAACACCATTTCCATTTTCTTGCACACATATGGTCCAACAGCCCCAAAATGGAGCCATTTATTAAAGGAGTTTAGAAACCAGAAGCTGGAAATACTCTGACAAGACCTAAAATAACTGCCATTCCTGTGACATAGCTTTGAATACCAAACTGTGGGGAAAGAAGAAGCAAACATTACTCTTAGATCATACTAGAAGTCTGCAGAGTTTTGTGTTCTGCATTTCCAAGGCACATGGCTTCCACATTACCTGATCTGTGCACCAGTACCACAGAGTAAGGATGCTCAAACCAATCGTGAGCCCTGGCCACGGCAGATCTCCAGTGACAGCATCTCGGAAGATGTGAAAAGCATCCGCTCGAGGAGTATAGCATTCTGAATCAATTGTGCTATTTCCATAGGTGATATTGGATGGAATTGCGTTCATATACTTCTCCATGAATGCATCGTACCCTCCAACCTCTTTAAATGCTGAAAAATAGAAAGCAAAAGAAGTGAAAAAGGATGTAACACTGACATCTCAAGTACAGCCAGACAATGTGAAGGAAAAACACCGTAACAGTGATGAACAAAACCCTAGAGAGTATATATATATACGTATGCAAAACAAAACAAAACAAAACAAAACAAAAACAGTGCAATGTGGCCAACAGTTGTTCATTTTGAATCAGAAATTTCAAGCATTAGCATCTGAAAATCTATGAAATTATAATCTTCTGGAAAAAAGTTACTCTCTGAATTTCTGAAGAGCATAATCAGCAACTCCACCTCTACCTCATTACCCATCACTGTCCTGTTCTCTCATAGGATGTTACACAGTACCTTATGGATTCACCTGTTCTTTGGAATGGAGTTTTCTCAATGACCAGATTGCTGGGCAACGTGCCTACATCACTCCCTGATAACAGGCATAAGAACTGAAATTTCCTAGTTAAGACAACAGGGCCCCGCACTGCAGGATCAATTGCTGTCAGCACTGTGATTTACTTACCAAATCCCATGAGAATGAAAGATCCCACAACCATGATAAACGTCTGCAAGGTATCTGTGTAAATCACAGCTGCGAGGCCACCTAATGACAGAACAAACAGGTCAGCCCCTCTGCAAATGCCTCAATGAAAATCTTTCTTCTTTTTATTCTTCTTTTATTCAGTTTTTCTACCTCTCTCTTTCAACAAAGATCACTGTAAAACACACCCCTGTCGAGTTTTTATTTTTCTCATCCACTTCCCCTGTTTTCCTTTTCCTTGCTTCTCTAATTTAATTACTTTATCAGGCTGCTCTGCAAACTCACCTGTGATGGTGTAAAGAGCAGTAATAACAAGCAGGATAATAATAGCCACATACAGATTCAGACCCATGGCCAACTGTATAAACACGGCTCCAGAGAATATGTCTGCCTATAGGGGATGGAAATGATACATATTAGGCAAGGGTAAGTTCTATGTGATGGCACATCATACATTCATGACTGGAGTGCTGAAATACACAATCCCTTACAGTACTGCACCAAACAAACAAACAACAAAAAAAAAAAAACCCAGCAAAATGAAAATAGAAGTTGTTCCTCTCAGAACAGGTTCTTTCAGTATAAGAACAGCGTAGCATTTCTCAAAGAACTCCCAAATATTTAGCAACAGCTCATTTTAGCTAGAGGCAGTCACCTCCTCACTACTGTGTGCATCCATTCTGAGGGACTTCAGTAAAGTTGAAAACTCACTGTGATGCCCAGGGCTGGGACCTGTGATGTCTCCAAGATATGGCAGGGCTCCTCCTTTAATGCTAGCAACTCTCTCCCTTTTTCTTCACTGCTTACATACATGTGCTACAGCTAGTCTCACCAGTTCAGGACGTGTGGGCATTAAAAGCAAAGAATTTATCACGAATCTAAGGTTCCTGTCAGAATAATTGACAAGTTGCTGGCTAACAGAAGAGACCTGTGGCTCATGTGTAAAAAAGGAGCTATTCAAAATAACCATCTATTTCTTACTGAGATTTTAAACACATTAAATAATCTCCTTAATTAAAAATATTCTGCATCAAGATTATTCACCTAAGTTTACAGTAAGACTGATCTACCCCAATGCATTTCTAATGAGTTGCCATTAGTCCTCCTTTCCTTAGAGGTCTGTATCTCCTGGATCCAGATGAAGGATTCACACCCAATCCCACCTGCACGCCTGCTTTCTGTATCCCACCCTTCCCATACAAAGGCACAATGAAGAGAGTCAGCCTCCCTTCACAGCACAAGTCCTCGCAGCGCTCAAACACGCTCAGGAGCTACAAAGCACTGCAGGTAGCTGAAGCCAGGACTGCTTTGCTCTGGAGAATGAGGCAGTGCTGACCAGTGCAGCAGATCCTCACACAGTGCCCCGATGTGCAGAAGACAAGCAGGAAGCAGGGTGTGAGCCACAGCAAGGGTTCCACTCCCCAAACCCTGCCCTGAAGCAGCTTGAGATGATTACGTTTCTTACAGGTTTTAGGCTGAAATTAGGAATGAGGACTTTTCGGATTGTATCTCCCAGTGGCTGCCAGGTTGTGTCCTTTGTCCCTTATCTCTATGGAAATATTTTTTCCCACCTTTTCACACCACTGATCTGCTTACATCCAAGTAAGTCTTTTGTTGTTCTTGGCTTTACTTCAGCTTACATAGCATTAAATATTAATGGTCCTAAAAGGACCTTAGCAAAGAAGCATACAGTTAATTATTTCGTGTCCTAAGCAACTTATCAGCAACTTTGAATTGCTGTTACCTTCCAGCTTCACTGCTCCTCCCTCCCATCAGATTATTTCCTTCCAATATTTCCTTATTTCTCCACAAATAGCCTTTTAATGGTACTATTTAATCCTTATCTCATCTGACAAATCTTCCCATTACAAGCTCTTTCTCCAAAGCCATGCACAGATCCTGCAGGAACAATTGGCAGAATGCAAGATAGCTAACTTGGAGCCTTTACATATCACTAGAGGATCCAGCTCCAACATAATGAACTCCAGTGCTCTACAATTTATTCTACACTGCGAAGTTCTAAGATGAGATTATCTTTCTTCCTCCCCTTATGTTGGTAAACCTGTGCCCTGATTTCTCATAAATCTATTTATGATTTCTTCAGAATTTAATTTGCTTCGGTCTTATCATAATTGAGTTAATTACTCTTGATTTTATTTTCTCTAGACCTTATTCTTTGGCACAATGACCAATATCAGCAATGCAGTTATAAAGCAAGGCCTTGAAAGCTGCCAGGGGCTTTGGACTCACAGTACTGCATGCTTAGGAAGCACACACACGTGAGATGCTTGTGCAGCCAGCTGAAAATCATTTGGGCTGAATGATCACATGTGATCCCAAAGATCCTTGCAGCGTAGCCTTGCCTGACAAGCAGTTGATAGCCACAAAACAAGGGAACAATAAAAATACAAAGAAAATGTCCAAGAAAAGACAGAAACAGTAATAATCTTGTACAGATACATGCAAAGAGAATCTAATCATCACACAGCATTGGGCAGCATGCCAGAGAGAGCAAGCCAGGAGTTACATGGCCTGACGTATTTTATTATTCATTGGAATGTACCCTGATTATAATATTACTAAGAACATTCAATAGTATGATATCAAATGAAGGAATCAACACATGAAATAACTACCCTGAAAATGTGCTGCTCTTATTCTAGAAGGATAAGTGGCAGTTAAACTGTTAGGTGTGACTGCCTGTCAAGGGCAGGGCAGAAAAATCCTTCTACACCAAATCTCACTAAGCCCAGGTGACAACAAAGGAGTGTTTGGAAAAGCAGCAGTCGAGGAAGTAAAATGCAAATCTGCAGGTTGGATAGGGCACAGATTGACAACACATGGGTATGTCTGGAGATGAAATGTGCCTCTGTGAAGAGAGACCTGTGCTCTGCGCAGTGCATACATCTCTACACAGCACAAATAAACTAGCTATGGGCCAGGATGGAACAGCCCTTCCCTTTGTGCTCCTGGAGATGTTCATTTGAAGACAATTTGGGCCTGGTTTTGCATAGCATGGGACAGAAAAAACTACCATTACTTCTCTGGCAGTACCTGAAACCTCCAAAAACTGCTTTTTGCAAATAAAATACAGCAAATTCCGCTCTACTGAATGTAGTCACACAATGCAACAGTGCAGAAAACGTTTGATGCTACAGAAATCAGAGCCATATTTGTACATGGAATTGACAGTGTCAGAATAGTTACAGAATTCTACACCAAATTTTCCCCTGCCCAATTCAGTGGCAATTCTCCACATACATCTGGAATAACTAGGTTCATCAGAAGCTGGGGAGGTAGAGTGGGGTGCTGGTAATCTGCTGCTATAGGCATCTCTTCACTGTTGCTTTGCTCCCACAAGTGCATGAGAAGGTGCTTCAGCCTCGTGATCACATGGGAAGTTTAAATGGAGAGTGTATCTTGCCTGGAATTAAGACACCTCTAGTGAAACAGGATGAAATCCCATGACTAAACTCTTAGGCATTATAAGGCTGGGAATAAAAGACTAAATTCAGAACCTGCTTAATGGGCTTCTTGCAAATGTGTTGCAGAATGGGGCTGAGTCATCTGATTGGAAATGTTTCTCAGCTGCTAGGACTGCCAGAGCTCTGTGTCATGTGCAACATACCTGGGATTTCTGATTATGGTAGTGAAGCGCAACAACAGTAAATTTAACTGATCCTTCTGAACTGTACAGAAATCCAGCGTTGGGGCCAGTCACATAGCACCAACCTGTTTAATTTATAACCTCTGTAAGGATCAGTTATCGTGAAGATGTGAGAATGAGAGCAAAAGGCCAATCTTTTAGCTTAAATTGCACTATTATCACTTAGCTCCCATGCAGAGGGCAAAGAGTAATCTGCCATGGCAACTTCTGAAAAACAACAGATTGAGGTATACCTGAACTGTGGACTTCTTCAAAGGCTTAGTAGTTTCAAGACATATGGAAAACACCAGCTCCCTTCACTATTTCATGGCAGCACAACCACATGCTTAATAAACATTAACTTTATAGCAATTTAAACTTTATAGCAACCATTTACCCATTAAAAGAATCTCTCTTCCTTTCACCTCAGCTGTCACCATTTCCTTTGCATTTTCCCACTCTCTTGTTTTCTAGCTTCTGTCATTCTCATTTTTTCACTGTTCTTTTGCTCTTTTCCCTCAGCTGTGTGTATTGCTGATGGCATGTTCACCAGAGTGAAGGATGAATATGAAGCCTAGGGACAAAAAATCCTGTTCCTTGAAAACCCAACAGCACTCTTCTCCAAAAAGTATTGCTCATTCTCCTAGCAGAACGAACAGAGGGTTGGCATGGGATGCTGTGTGCCCAAACTGATGGCAAAAAGATTCTAAAACCAAATGATGAAACAAGCAGCAGCTATTATTTCTCAGATGATTCACGTAGATCAAAATGTACAAACTCATATTTGTGGAAATTTCCTCCCATGTTCCATTGATCCCTAAACAGAGTGCAATACAATATAAGGTTCCTTCCATTCTTGCCTGTTATAAAAGTAAACCTTAGAAACATTAAAATAGAAAAGAAAGAGAGAGAAAGCCTAACAAACACCAGGAAGATCTACTCAGAGATGTTCAAGGAAGCCAACAAAACTCAGACTGCAAAACAGATCTGCACACATAATCTCACTACCCAGAAGAAAATACACGTAACTGTTGTATCACACATTTTACTCCTTAGTTCAACTGGACTTCAGAAGCAACAGTCAGTTGTGTGCATAATAATGTAAGTGGCAGTTTCTATTATTTAGATCAACTTTGGATGGAAAAATTGTTGCAGAAGTTGTACTTACTGAGATCTTTGTGAAAATATACAGGACCAGTGAAAGGATTGACAGGTAGACCTGAATCCGTTTCCCACCAAAACGCTTCCTCAGATACTCTGGCATCGTCACCACCTGCAGGGTGGGAAGAGAAGGTCTCAGACAACAGGGCACGGATACAAAGCAAGTTAGAGGAAGCTTTTTGCTACTCAGATACTGTAGGAGTGGAAGGCAAAGGGAGAGAGCTACAAATGCAGTTGCATGGAACAGCAGCTTCAGGAATCAAAGGAGAACAAGAGCAGAGTACCAAATACATCTCAGGTCTCAGAATTTGAGAATCATCATTACTCATGTACATATGGATAATATAGACAGGTTCTACTGTGATCAGATCTCCTTTGCCATTTATAATGGCTTTGCAATACTCCAGACCTGATCCACAAACAAGAGAGGATGATTAAAACAAACAGCACAGGAAAACATAACACTGTTTTTACTTACCCCAGCTTTGATGTAGATGGGTACAAACAGCCATCCTAGAACAACCACAAATATCAGAGCCTGCAGTCAAGACAAGATCAGCTGAATTAGCCTCCTCTTTCTAGACAGCACAAAGACCATTTATCAGACCAAACTGCAGATAAGAGACCACTGAGACCACTCAAACCTGGTCACTTTGGGGCTGCGATGGGTGTTGCTCGATCCTTTGTCTTACACTTGAAAATCTGGGAATGAAATCCTGGCTAAGAGATTTGTCATGCACCGTGGAAACTGAATTGCATGCTCAGTTTCCAAAAGAAGCACATATGAGAACACATTTTGGAGAAAAACTGCTGATTTCTGCTCGTATGTTTGCCTTTCAGTATCAAAATGCCACCCTACCAGCAATGCTAGCTTACTCCAGCTGTCCTCAAAGCACGCTGTTAAAATGCAATCAGCCCATAAGTCCACAATTTCTGGGAAATATTAAAGAAGGATTAATTAAGTCTAATAACTGAGACCCATTTGCTAGTTGCTTCATCCCAGGTATAGTCAGACTACCTTTCAGAATCAGCTGTGCTGCAAGGTATCTCTTGATACCAGCAATCGTAGGTATGGGGTAAAGAAGCACTTCTGATATCTCTTTAGCTTCTTTCTGCACTGAGCTTCTGTGAGATGTCTGTGTTTTACAAGGCACAGTGTATTACAGTGATCCCACACACTGTACAATATACTGCAAGCATCTAGTACAGGATTTGGTATTTCCACATTATCATTGCTCAGTGTATTTTGAATGGCCATGTGCATTTTGTGAACTATAGATCTTACTGTATTTTGGTGTCAGTTTTCTAACTGAAATGGCTAGTAAATTCTCCCTAACTAAAGTAGTACATAACTAGACAGACAAATGAAGAACAAAATTCTGCTCAAAATTCTACATTTTTTTCTATCCACTCATGAGGTTGTTTTCATTTTCAGTAACATTATCTTTTGAGTTTTGCCTTTAGATCAAAGATGAGAAATGGACAAGAAAGAGTGGTTCAGCATCTGCTATCAGATTAATGTAATTTAGAAGTAATTTCATGGAATAATACTGATACAAGCAGTATAATAATCAATATTTCTTTCAAGAGGAGAATTGAATTATACAGTCAAGAGTCTTTCTGTCATAATTATTTAAGGAACTATGTAGTGTAACTCTCCAAACACATGCATGCATCAATGCTTTTTGCTAAACAACAATTGTTGCACTCTGTATATTTACATCAGCCCATGGAGAACCTCCCAGGAGACGAAGAGTTAGCCATGAGTATGTTTGAAGGAGAGTACGTGTCCCAGAGCTTTGAATGATGTGAAATTTCAAGTAATGTTTGTTCTGTTTTCTTTTGCTTAGTTTTTGTGCAAAGGAAAGAAGAATAAGGTTGCCTACAGCGCCATTGTAAACAAATAGAGAAAGATGACAGATAAACTGTCTCACAATTCTTGTAAGCCTTTAGTGTTCTCCTTTAATATTTATGTAAGCACCTGAATATTTGCAGCAACCACTTACTTGTTAAGGAGAAAAAATACAGTTCCTCATTGAAGTATGTTTCTTTCACTGCACAGAATTAAATGCAATGAAACCTATGTAATGCTCATTAAGTCTTTTGTGTTTTGGTATAATCCCTTCCATGCACATGAATCAAGCATCGTAAGATCACTGTTATCCACACCCACAATATCTGAGAATGAGGAAATGCATTTAATCAGCTCATGTGAATCTTCATGCTGTCACAGTTAATACTGCTGCTGGTACCCCAAGCAGTTCATTTTAAGTCAGCCTGGATATTTCTGTTCCACTTATGGTTGCCATGTAGAACATATACAGCCAGAAGAAGGAGAAACTAAAAGGGAAAAGATTTTTAGAATGCAGTTGACTGTGAAGGATGTCCCAAATTTCCTATGGCCTGCGAAGAAAATAAAGCCTTTTCAACAATTTCTAAATAGCAAACTGCAGTAAAAAAATAAAATATTATGGGTTATAAAACTAACTACCTCTTCCAGACATCCTACAGTCTGAGAGTGCTCCCTATCAATAATTAAATGTAATCAAATGACAGAATAAGAAGAGAATCCACTGATTTCTTTGGGTCAAACATTTTCTAAAAACCTTCATTCAACATAAAAGAGCCATCATCTCCCAGTCACTTGTGCAAGGACCAAGGAAGATAACTAGGAGACAACACCTGTACAGAAACAAGTATTGCCAAGTAAATTTTGACAGCATAAAATTATTCAATGATGGCATCTTGATTAACCCGTGCAGATAATTCTGACATCACAGATACGCTCACCCAAATGCATGTCACTTACATTCCATTCATACCCTCCAATGGCAATTCCTCCAGCTGCTGCTGTTCCTGCTATGCCCACAAAATGTCCACTGCCAATGTTACTGGCGAAGAGTGAAGCACCGATCTGGAAACAGAAAGAACAGGACTTGATTCTTAAGGTCAGTTCATGACAACTTGAAAAAACCACGTTCAGCTGACATTTTGAACTCGGGCCTGTCTATCATCAGGTGGTGACAATGAGAACGAATGACAACCAACTTCCTTGACTACTTTGAAGACTCTCGTTGTTTTTCTCCATCCCCCATCAAATCTGAAATGTTAGCCCTCGTGTCTAGAACATGAAGTATGAATACAAAACTGCATAACTCTTCTTCCAACTGACACATAGGTTATGACCCAAAACAGGCTTTCAAATATTTGCAAAACTTGACCAACTGAATTTGAAATAATACACAAACAATTAGACAGGAACACAGATCTGCCTTGCTCAAGGAGGAAACAATAAGTGTGCTTGTGTCAGACCTGCACTCCTGTTTCATAATGAAGTTCTGCAGACTGTGGGACTAATTGTGCGATCAGTCAGAGTCGTACAGATTTCACAGTTGTTTGACTTTTAGTCAAAAGATATTAAATTAACTTGATTCAATTCTTCAAGCTACATGGCTGAGAGCGCTTGTGGAAGATGCTAAATAAAGCAAATAAAGGAGCTGGATTGAAGGAATGCTGCAAAGACCTCCAGACATTGCAATGATCCAGCAGACAGAATAGGGGGAGAAACACAAGAAATGCTGATCAGAGAAAGAGCAAGACCAAGAAAGGTTGAGGCTGGATTGCTGACAAGGCAGGAGCCACTCAGAAAGGAAAGGTCTGAGGTAGTCCTCTAAACTGAAAGACCTAAAAGCCTTGAAAACATTCTTTTACAACCATGAATACAGGATCTGCACATTCTTCATATGTAGATCCCAAGTACACTTGCAATATGCATGGAGTTACAAAAGATAGAAATATTCCTTGCCTGCAACTCACTGATTGATTTGTAGGGTCCTAAAATATATATGAATGTATTTACAAATCTCCAGGTCTGCAATCACTGCAGTGAGTCCTTTGTGTAGCAGTAAAAATTAAAGCAACCTTCCTGAGGGCACAAGAACGACTGCCTGAGATTCAGGAGGATAAAAGGGATTTCATCATAGAAATGCATTGTGAAGATCAGGTTTACTCTCTAGAGCCACACCACAGCCAGAACAGCACTCACTCTCCTCCTTCATTTGCTACATGCAACAAATCATTCACCTTTATACTGCTTCTTTCCCAAGCTTTTTTTCTTCCTTTCTGCTGTTGGTTCCCCTGTTATCTTCTAGTCCTTATGCAGGACTAGGGGAATTTCTGTCTCTAAGTTCACTTTGTTCTGCTCTTTTTTACTTTATTTTTTTTACAGCTTTCTAGAACTCAGTTGTGCCCTACAGAAATGTAATCAGTTTGTCATATTAAATATATTCCCACAGGAATGACAAATCTTGTAACAGGCATTAGCAAATAAGTCAGAGACATTACTCGTAATAAAAAAAACTTCTTTTAACCACTATGTTGTTAACCACAACAGCAGTATTTGCTCAAAAATAATTGTGAAGAAACAGATACTGTACTAATATTAGACATTAGTAACTGCTGTCTGGTGTTCTCCCTGTAGATGGAGAATTAAACTTTAATTTAGGTTATCAGAAATTGCACTCACCAGAAAAGATTAACCACATTAATCCCTGATTTTACTTAATGTGTTCCCTCTCCTCTTCCAGAAGTTTGAAACGTGCTGCATGCAGATCTAAATAATACAAGCAGCTAATGAAGAACTCTCAGAAAAGAAAGCTACAGTGGGATTTGTCTCAGTGCCTAAAAACAGAGGGCATAGCATAGCAATTACTGGGAATGTGTTCAAACTCCACACGGAGTACAACTGCAAAATTTACTACAAATTTTGACACCAAACAAAATTACCAACACATTCAGGATGAAGCAATGCCGGTGCATGTATCACTTTCAATTTCTACATGTTGTTTTCTGAATTAGAGAACACCTGGTACAGCAGAACTACAAAATCAGTACGTAACAGTGAACACAATCACCAAGGGTGGAACGTGGCATCATAGCTGGGAAGCATAAATTAATGAGAACCACAGCTAAAAGCTGGTTAAAGAGAGAGGAATGTCTGCCAAATACGCCTGTGCCCAGGGAGCTGGACTAGATGGTCCTTTTGCCTTTGCTGTAGTGAGCACAGGGCACACCGAGGTGGAACAGGCTGGGTGTTTGTGTCTGGCCTCTTTCCTCTGCAGTGTGTTACTAAGAGAGCAGATCTTTGTATTTGAGTTCCTCCATGTGCATGGCTGTAAACCAGAGGATGGGCTGAAGCTGGAATCGTTAGCCATTCTCAGCAACGTGTTGGTGAATTGATTTTTACAACAAATAGAGGAGGAAAAGTGAAGAGGAAAGTAGATTGGAAGGAACAAAAGCTGTTAGGACGGAAAGAGGGCAAAAAACTGAGCTAACCTGGAATGTGGAACATTAACTCCTTTCAAATCTTTTAAGGGGTCAGGTTTTAACAAGAGCACTCTGTTCAGGAAAAGTACTATCACCCTGCAGGCAGATGATGATCATTATGTTTTTTCCGTGTTATTCATTAACTGATTCACTTGGCACTTTTCATTAACTTTAGGATGCACTGACATCCTGGCACTTGCTGTTCCAAACCTTATATACAGTGCTCTTTGCAAATCAGTGACTACTGCCATGGTAGTGTGCATACTTCTCAGTTTATGCCTTTCTTTTCTCCCTCTCAGGATCACACATATCCTCCATTCCTAATGTCTGCTTTCCTGTTTGAAAGCACCAGTTCAGTATCAAACACTTTTCCTCAACCTTGATCATGCCTTCTCTATGGCAAAGAGAATACCTGCCCTTAGCCACTCCACAGAGAACAACAGAGAAGCTCCTTCACAGCAGCATGAGGTCACCTTTCTGAATCACCTGCAGAAGATGCTTCTCAAATCCCTCTTCTTATTCCCATGCTTAAGAACTACTCTCCAACAGTTTCCATACTTCTCTTTTAACTCACAGCTGTGACTGTATCCTGTAGGAAAGATGCTTCCCTACTCGAGTTTTATGAGATCACTTTCAGTCACTTTGGAAGAATCAGTTTGATGCTTACAGTAAAATACTACTGTGACTTTTCCAAGACTCTGAGACCCAAAGAAAACACAGAGTCACAGAATGGCCAAGGTTGGAAGTAACCTCAAGGATCACAAATCTCCAACCCCCAGCCACATGCAGGGCCACCAACCTCCCCATTTCATACCAGCCCAGGCTGCCCAGAGCCCCATTCAACCTGGCCTCGAACACCTCCAGGGACGGAGCATCACAGCCTCTCTGGGCAGCTGTTCCAGCACCTCACCACTCATAGCAAAAAACTTAAAGAAAGAAGTGTTGGGTTTTATTCTGTTCTCTTGATTATTCTTCAGGTTCTCAGTATTGTGTTATTGCCAGATTAAACAACACTGATAAACAGACAGATATGGAGACACAATATATGTCAGGTAAGGTGTCTCTGTCTCTTACTGACTGTGACAGCTGTGGGAGCAGCACAGCCATAAACAGACTCATCTGAAACCTTCCACCTTTGTCCTCTGAGATGCAGACAGCACCTCCAAGCTGGCTGAAACCTTCTGACAGATTCTGCAAAAATCTTCTTCACTTTCCCTGCTCTACCAGAGCTTTGTTTTTAATATTTTATCATTTTTACTCTAAAAACAGTTCGGTTTCACACTTTTTTTTTTTTTTTTTTGTATGGAAATTGACAAAATAAGTAAATTTCCTATTTTACTTCATCTGTGGAAGGAAGGTACTAATCTTACATGTACCAGGTTGTCCCTACTGGCTTCTCACAGCAATGTCAGATCCATCAAATTGGAAGAATTGTGAGAGTATGTAAAACTTAACTGGATGCAGAGATAACAGAAATTGTGCCACTGATCAGTTCTGTTGGGCTTTGAAAAGAGGGCATGCAGAACTGAGGAAAAAAAGTGTATTTTTTCCCTTTAATTCTTACCCTGCTCACAAAGATCAGGGCTTTAATAACAGCAAATACACCGAGTGACATTTGTTTGAAGTAATTATGTCTTTGACTTTGAAATGCTTCCTACTTACTATCTATGCAGTAAATCTTTCCAGCCATATCTGAACATCAGATGCCCACCAAATACTACTTTGCCCTATTAGCATTTATGCCTCAGGAGCTGAGGCTTCTAAGATAACTCACAATTTTGTGCAGACAGCTGTCTGCGGAACCATGGAACCTGAAGAACAGAATTCAAAGCAGAAAAGCTTCAAAATTGAGGTTTCGTTGTTGTTGATTTTCATGGTGTCTGAAGGCTCGTTAACCCTGACAGACTGGCTACAACTGAAGCTGACTGTTCTTTAGTAACAGATGCTGAATTTCTTACAAGAGTAGAAAGTATTTGAACAGAAGAAGTGAAAAGTTCAGTTTGCAAGGCCCAGGGTTACAAAGCTGGTAATTTCTCTGAGCTTTTGTGACTCTCTGGAATAAAGTACAGCTGGTTATGAATATTTAAAAAGTCATACAGGTCTATCCTAAAGAGATTTCCTTCAAAGCATAAGAAACCAAAATCAGTTTCTTGAAGATTCTTCTCTCTTTTTCTCTAAAAAGACTTTGTAAGGGAACAGCATTTCACACTCATACAATTAACTCATGATAGACTTAAATTTCTGGCAATCAGTGAGAACATAACTACATATCTTGATTGCTAATGAACTATTGGAGTTACTGAGTTGACTCATCCACAGCATCAAGGGCAGTGATTTCAGTGAAATAACACAGAAACTGAAATCAACTAAACAGTCAAAAAACAGTTACAGACTTAGTTTTGTAAAATACCAATCAACCTTCATGGCCACAAAATGATCCACAGAATGGAGAAAGGAAGCACTGAATGGAGGATCTTAAGACTGCACTGATGACCAGCACTGCATCCATGCCTGCTTGTGCAGTTTGGGCAGGGAAGAGAGATGGGCCGGCAGCAGATGCTGCACGTGGCGTCATCTATTTTGTCTTTCTGCTCAAGTAAGGGAGCTGAATCTGTTGGTTTTGTGTTGCTAGAGAATTCAGTGTTAGTTGACTGCCCCTGGGTCTACGGGGGATCATTAGGACTTCTCTGTGCCTCCATAGCCACACAAAGTTGTCACGGTGAGTCTTTTCTGCCTTACCACTTCCATTCTCATTTATGTCTGCACAAAGACTATGAACATTCACTGTTGACAAGTAGACAGAATTGCACAGGGTAAAAACCAGTCCAGATTAAACTATCAGTCAAGCAAGTCAATTTTTCCCCCTAAAATTATAGAATTTATCTCATAGTAACATGCAAAGGAGAGAAAGGGAACTCTCTCTTTGCTCAGGCTTTCAGTGGAACTTGAATTTTCTCAGACCTATTCAACCAAATGAACACATCTTTCACTGTCATTAGCCCTTAATCTTTTTATATCATTAAAATGGCAGCTCTGATTCCTTCTAAAGCCAGACAAGAGCTCCCTGAAGTGAAGAAGACTGAACATAATGTAGGTATTTGTGTGACCTACTTCCAGAAAATTATTAAACTTTTAGAGAATAAATATTTACTCCCTTTATCCTCCAGATCCTGTAACCAAATCCATCTGGAACCCATAACCACATTCCATGTGGGTGGAATCTTGAATCAAAAAGCTTACAAAGTGCAAAGACATTTTTTGAAACAAGGCAAAATCAGGAATGTTGATGGTCTCTGTTCAAGCACATGAAAGCATGTACAATATCAGCACAATGAAGATTTTTCTGAAGTCCTGCTGAACAGATGCTGTATCATCTAGAAGAAACAGACAATTGCTTCTAACAGCACTTCTGCCAGAGGCCTGCTGGATAGCCATGAAACGTTGCTTCATGTCTGTAACTGCTTTCCTCTTTGAAGAGAAAACAGCACCAAAGACAAGCAGTATAAGTCATGGATAATCATTAAATAAATTTGAAACTGTTTTAACAATAGTTCATCATAATCTTTCCAGGATTTTCTCCTTGCATTGACCAGAAATTGTTACCAAAGTTGGAGACACAAGAGCAATACCAAGGAATCAGTAGATTAATTCTTCTCCATGATAACCTCAAAATAAGTCAACTTCTTTGAGAACAGTGAAAACACTAAATTCAAAACATTAAAAAAAACCAAAAAAGTTTTGGTTTTTGATATCTGCTTTGATATCTGCTCAGATATCAAAGTATCTAAGTTCAAGTTCTTGATGTCTCATCATCAAGACAACTCAGAGCTCAGCACAGCTTCCCCAGCACTTTATCCTGTCTGTGAGGTGGCTTTTGGTGTACAGTTAGTATTGTACCATGGTGAGTACAGAGGGAGTCTGAAGATAAGTAAGGTATGTCTACCTGGCATAGCCATTGCAGTCTTAACACTATAGCAGGTATACTTTATATTTAAGGATGAAATATACAGAAGTGGATGCACATACAGAAGCATAAATATGTTTTATACACACATGGAGTACATAACACTGACCGGCCACCAAACCATGTTCCGTCCGGCCAGAAAGAATCCACCTACTGTCCCTCTGTTGGTTGAGTACATGGCCTAGAGGAAAAAAAGAGAGAGAAAAGAGGAGTGATTAAATTGTGTTTTAATCATAATAGGCAAGTCATATATTGACTAAAAACAAACTGCTAAAACAGGAGGGCAAAGTGGAAACAAGAAGTGTCATAAGAAAGAACTTACGACAAAGAAAACAACAACACTCAGCTGTAGATGACCCTGTTCATTACAGAGGAATTGGACTAGATGACCTGTAAAGGTCCCTTCCACCTCGAATGATTACATGATTCTACAAACAATTATTCTTGTGTCTAGGTCTACATTAGCCATTCAAGCTTCATGGCTTCATCTCATTACAATAAAACCAGAACATTAAAGTAACACTGAATGTAACAAAACAATTGATCACCCAACTACAAATTCAGTACAAATTCAAACTCAGAAGAACACTTCATTAGGGGAGTAACCTCTTTGATTTTAGGCACTAAAAAAGACTGAGTTTTTTGTATGCTCATAGGGCAGCTATGCAGCTTTTCAGTATTATCCAGCTCAAGCAGATATCTACAAAAATTTATTTTCTTGCTGTGGTTACAGCAGCACACACACTTTCCTCTGAAGTTCAAACAAAGTAGGCTAAAATTTCCTTTTTGTGCACTCAGTTTGTTCTTAACAAAGGACAGCCTCTAGAAGGAAGCTTCCTCCACTTTTATTAACGACCTTGATCAAATACTGGCTTCCCATTGTCTCCACTGATGAACTTTGAATAGGCAAATACAGGAAGAAGACTTGAAGAAAATTAGCCAAATATTTTATTCTGTCGCAGAAGAAAGGGAATATGAAATAAATTTCCATTTCAGTGCACACAGTAGCTGAATTAAGCATTTGTCCAATAATGAACACATTGTTGCTGGAGACAAAGGATTCCAGGAGTTACTCAGAATACATTACCTGACCAGCCCTTTTCTGACAAAGACCTTTGATTACAGCAATAGTTAAGACTTCCACAGCAAAGACCCAGTTTCTTCCCACAAGACAGCAAGGTGTTCAGGTACACTGAGGTCTTCAGATTTGTTGCTACGTTTTTCAATCTACTACCATGACAAAAAGATAAAGACCGGGCTGTGATCATGCTGTGTTCACCTCCCATTTTTTGTGCTCTTCAAAACACTGCCAGGCTGCTAGGTAGGGAGGGGGTTTTCCTGCAGCACATTTCTCTGTTCTGTGAAATGGACCACTGGGATGCTCCTGGCAAGCTCAGGATTACAGCAGGACAAGGCCTCGGCTCAGCTTGCATATCATCATGTGCTCAGGTGACCAGGAGCACTTGCCCCAAGGAAAGAGCAAGCCTCAGAATAGCAGCTTGGAAATTCGGCACATTCTATGGTTTACAGCTTTGTAACACATAATAAGGGCCCATTACTTCCAAACAGATCAGCACCAGCAGGACAGTATCTGCCTTTCCCCATTAGCTGTGAAAGCACTGTCCTTTGTTTCAGGATTAGGCACTGAGTTTTCCCCTGCAGTGCTCAGCATATTCCGTGTTGCTGCCTGGGGGCAGGAGGTACAGTTCTGCTTAGATCACAAGCAAAAAGTCAAAGCCATCTCTTTCCACCTCTGAAAATGTCCCTTCCTCACAGTTACAAAGGCACTGCTCTCTATAGCCAAGGTCCCTCTGGCAAAAAGAAAAGCCAAATAATGCTGCATTCAAATGGCAGCTACAGTCTTGGCCCGCATCACTTTTCTGCTGAGAGCAGCCTGCAGCACTCAGCCCATCCCACAGTTGCAGCAGCAAATTTACACCACAGACATTAGCCCACATTGCCCACATTGCCCTCCTTGCACACTGACACCTTCACTGCTTCCCAACAACTCTCACTTCTTGCTGTTTCCTACACATCACCTCACACAGCCAATTCTCACAGCTTCTAGCCTGCTTTCTACCAGCAACCGGACTTGGCTTGGGCTTTGCAGACCTGACCTCTCACGGTTGGATTCTTCCCCACACAAACCCCATTACTCCACCTTCTCCACTAACTATTCAATCCATATAAACAGTTCTCTCTCCAGTTCATCTTCCCTTCTTCAGTAAATACCCGTGTTTTCCTCACCATACACTGATTAACAATCTCAATTAAGCACCATGGTCTTTAATAATTATACATTTTCATTTACTGAGCCATTTTCCTAGGACCTACAAAACGACCTGCTCATCAAGCCCCCCCCCCCAAAAAAAAAAAAAGAAGGAAAGAAAAGAAAGAAGGAAAGAAAGAAAGAAGGAAAGAAAGAAAAAAGGAAAGAAAGAAAAAAGGAAAGAAAGAAAAAAGGAAAGAAAAAAGGAAAGGAAGAAAAAAGAAAGAAAAAAGGAAAGAAAGAAAAAAGGAAAGAAAGAAAAAAGAAAGAAAAAAGAAAAGAAAGAAAAAAGGAAAGAAAAGAGAAAAAATTAGAAAATTAAAGGCCAACATACCCATATTCCCACTGCCAGGACTATCACAAAATAGATGACAATAACAGAGATGTCTGCAGCATTGTTGATCCTTATGGTGGATTCCATCCTGGATGATTCTCTGGCTTTCTTCTTCTTTCCCTCCTTATATGCCTCTTGCAGTGTGCAGGTTAATGATAAACTGCTGTCATCAAGATTCACTTGTCTTGGGACACAAGCTGAAGCTGCTGCTTTTCCTCTGACAACACTTCCTTCCTAAATATTGCTCCCCTGCTACAGGTGCTGCAGATCTCTCCCCTTGCCAAAGGTGCTCGGGGTTTTAACATTGGTGAGCAGATGTCTAAGAAGGAATGAGCACTGAAAGGAGTGGCTTGGCTGCAATAAACCTGCATATTTACCTCGCCGTGAATACTTTTTTTTTTTTTTAAGTGGTTGTACCTGTAAATCTAGTCATGGAAGATGCAGCTCTTTTAGATGATGATGGCAAACAATCACCTGTGAGGAGGAGTGAGCTGACACTTGGGGAAAACCCGGGGTCCAGCAGCTGGGACACTGCGTCACCGCTCCGCTCAGCGTTACACAGTGCAGAAGCAGTCCCAAACTTCTGGGAAGGAAACGATTTGAAGCTGCTTTTCTCTCTCACAGGTAAAGATGGATACAGGTGAAGATGCATGTGAAACACAGGATTTAGATCCTGGAGCTTCATGTGTTGAATTTCAGAGTGTTCAGATTGGGGTTTTGTGCTCTCTCAATTGTGGCTAATCAGCTTCACATTCAAATAAGTTCAAAGTTCATCAGTGCTTGGGTCTGCTCTCTCATTTATTTGTTCCTCTTCTTGTCTTCAAAATAAAGCTAAGCAAAATAACTGGTTACAAGATATGGGACACACCGATTATAGACAGATCTTCACAGCCCATAAGAGGGTATTTTCCCCATACAGCATCTGTGATCCTTCAGTGGAGCAGAGATTGCAAAAATCTGGGGTATTGAGATGCAGAGCCAGCCACAAGTGCCAGGCACGTTTCTGGGCTCAGGATATTTGAAATCCTATTCTCTGATTGATACTGGGGAATCCGTATGCATTCACAGCTGACTGAGGTGCTTTTTGGAAATACAGTTTTACCTGAAGTCACACTGAGCAGAACAAGCAGTGCATTGCGTAGAAAACACAGTAGGTTGGACTGCTTGCAACAGTTATTTCCTCATTGAAATGGAGGTCTAGCATGCTGTTGGCAATGAATTTTTCTCAGGCAAATTATCCTTCTGTAATTGCGAGTAATAAAGAGCATCAACGTCTAATAAGCTGAAAGTGTAATGTCCTTTAAGAATATATTTTAAATATCACTATTGTTTGGGAACTTATAAAGCAATTCTGTCCTCTGATAGCTTAGGCATCTCTCCCAAAACACATTCTTCAGTTTGTCCTACAGGTCTGTGAAATGTTAGCTGTAAAACCAACAGAGAAAAAAATTAACCCTGGAAGTTGCTGAGCATCCAAAACTCCCATTAGCTGCAACTACCCTGCTGTGAATTTCAGAGGAAAAAAAAAAAGAAAGACTTATTTACTGACCTTAATTATCAGGAAACAGTTTGCCTAAGATAGGCTGTAGATGACTCTTCTTTACAAATACTGACGTAGATTCCTATGGGACCTCACAACCAATAAGTTTGGCTTTCAGGAATTTCATTTCTGCCTCAATTGACAGAGGTAAAGCAAATAAAATATTAGACAGGTGCTTATCTATTGCAACACAGCTCATATTCTCATCCAAATTTCTGGTGAAAAAAAAAATTGGAGAAGAAACACCGCAGCCTCTTGTCCATAGATCTTGGTGTAGCCATATCAACAACTCCAACGTTTAAAACAGTAATAAAGATTCAGTATATGAATAAAAAAGTAATAATCACACAATTCCCATCTTCACATACAGTGGAACCATTGACTTAATTACGTTTTCTTTATGAAGGCCACAAACATAAACAAAACATTCTCTACAACAGTACTAAAAAGAGATGGCAGCTCTGTCAAGGCTCTTAATATCTTACATCCTCATATCTGAAGTCCAAAGAGAATCTCAGAAGTGTTGTACTCAGCAGATTACTGGTGTACTAAATGAATCACATCAGGAATCGAATGCATATAAAAGGTCTCTGAAAGGTCAGCCTATTTCCAGATTTGAAAAAGGCTGAGCCTGGCCTTGCATTAAAGCTTTGGAAGATAAGCACAAGTAAATCTCCTGATGTAAAGCACGACCTTTGCATCAGAATGCAATGATTTCTTTTCTCACACCCGTGCTAGCAATGTGCTTCAGCGGCTGCTCTCCTCACTCTGAAATATGGATACACATAGAGCTCCAGTACTGAACAAAAAGCCAAATAATTTGATGCTCTGTAGAAATGTCTCTCCTCCCTTCTGTGAGCCAGGACAAGTTGCTGAAGTGAGTGAGCTCTGAACTGCAGTGAGAACACTGAGCCTAAGTAGCACAGCACAGGGATACAAGCATGTGATGCAAGGCAACAATGATTGCTCCCCTCTGGATCAAGTCTGACAACATTTAGCATATCATGAATATCTCCATTCATACCTGAATAGACAAAATAGACAATGGATGAAAGCACAAAAAGTTACAGAATGATATAATAAATTGTTCAAAATCACACACCAGATTACTGATGGAGCCTGCACAGAATTAATCTACAGATTTACAGACCCAAATTTTAACTGCGAGAGCTGACAGAGACATCACTGTGTTTGGGGGCAGAGGGCAGATACACGACCTCTGCAGAAGCTGCAACTGCTCTGCTGTCATCATAAAATGGGGCTGTAGCATGCAAAATTTGAGAATTATGGCACTTGCTGCTACCTATCCTAATCACTTAAAAACCTGCGTGGAATTCCTTTCTTTTTCACTGTTTAAATTAATATGTATGAACTGAAAAATGGCAGAAATCTTATGTTAATGTCACTTCCTCTGAAAACTTACTATATCTCTCAAAACTGATATAGTTTCTATATAGCACCATGCTAGCAACAAATGTTATGACTGTGAGTTTCTTGGGTAGACCATACCACAACGGCTTGGATTGCCAACTTCTGACCACGATGTCAGAATTCCACCTCTCATGTAACTCTTCCTCCTGATGATGGCAAACGATAAAACAAGAAGTTAAATGAGCAAACCACAAACAAAGAGAGCAATGCATTAGCATGCAAACTGCCTCCCAATGAGGAACTCTCTCTGACATTCCTCCAAGTCCCTTATAAAACACGCAGATTTCTTTAGAAATGTTTATAAACAAGATAACCTGTGCAACTGATAAAGGACAAACATTTACTGCTTTAACAAAGTCTCTCCTCCTTCGCCTGTTTCCCAGCCACATCCTGCAAACATAAAGGGAAAAGTGATCACATTCACAGGTGGACAAGATGGCAATTCAAAAGGTTTCAGAAGAATATTCCTGAGATGGTCCTAAAAATAAAGTATGGCAGAGTATATAGGACAAGAGGATTATTCAGTACTTATTTTTAATGCAAAAGACCTTTTCTCTCAGTGAGTAAAGCTTGGATCTAACTCATTAGAAGAGTTAATCAAGAAAACTGAAAGGCAGAATCCATAAAAGAGGCATTACTAAAAGGATATGAAGCATCAAACTGCAGTAGTGAAGTGCAGCTAAGAAGGAAAAAAAAAAATAAAAAAATAGTAAAATAGCTCCTTCCTAAAAGGACAGCAGAAAAAGAGCAAAGTCATTCTAATCCAATTCACATGAAAAAAAAAAAAAAAAAAAAAAAGAATTTTTCAACAGATAAAAAAAAAACCAAGGAAACAGAAAACAGCAGCATTTCTAGATAAAACTTCTCATTAGCATTTCTACTAAGGAGAAACATCAGAGGATATAAAAGTAAGTTGATAAGCAGATAGCCCAAGAGAACTGAAGTGAGTAAATACACTCAGTGCTTCAGCAAGTGATTAAGTTGTCTCTGTAATATCATTACATATGCCCAGTGGTATCTAAGCATTGCCAATATTATCAAAGCCACAGTCCAAGGACTGTACTCCAACAAGATATAAATAAGGTAGCAATTTGATTTTGGTTTGAGTCATGTTTTATTCATTCTTATAAATTCAGGAGAGTAACGAGCAATGCTTCAGTTACAAGAGATGTATTTCAAATCTCCATTCCAACTATTAAGTCACAGTAAAATCTGTGGCAGATTAAAAAATCCTCCCCCAAACTAATTCAGACTGTCACCAGATTTAGCTGACAGCTGGGCAGTTTCCCACCAGCAACTTTTAATTGAGTAGCACTCTCATTAAAACTGAAATACTGTGTGATTCAACATATCTGTTATTCTCCTGATTCAAAATACTGTATTTGGAATGTGTTTCCTTCTTGGGAGCTTCTTACCTGTCCCTAAAACAACGTTATTACTTATTAATTTTGAGACACACTGACCTGCCTACTGTAGCTAAAATTAAATAGCAGAAGAAATTACATAGGATACCTGCACAAACCATGACCACAACTCGCTCTGCTTTAGGAAAAATAATACCTTCATTCCACAAAATACGGGAAAGAAACGAGCAAGAGATGAGCTGCTGAGGCCTGTTCCATTGAAATATTCTCTAGTTGCTCAAGTGACCTGAGGAAAACCCCAGCCACTCATCCTTCATTTTACCTGAAATAATCACTCTGGAACAATGGATGGCTTCAGGCCTTGTGGACATGTTTTGTTTACACTTGAGCATAAAAGAGCAACAAATACATCATTATTTTTGTGTTTAACAGATTCATTTGATAAAAGAAATTCAAGTAGGGGAAGAAAAAGATCACAGTGTACCAGAATAGCAGCCCAGGATGCACTACACACCACTTGCTCTGCAGGGCCCTGTTGCACAGTAGCCTCATTTGCACAGTTTTTCACCAGGAAAAGAAACCTGAATAACACTGTTAGGTTTCCACTGTACAAAATACAACATGAAGCTTACAGAAAACTGGTAAAAGCAGAAAACGTGGCTGGAGAGAACTCAAAGAAAACAAAGGAAACATTATTTTAGGAAATAATGAAAGATACAGCATTTCAACGAACATTTAAACAAACCTATTGACTGTTCCAACAGCAGAAAATTATCTGAAGCAGGGAATAGTAAGAAGTGGGAATCCCTGGTCAGGATAAAAGCTGAACAATTGCCTGACAACTGTTCTCTGTTATGAAAGAAAAGAAAAAAGAAAACACATCATACAAAACAAAAAGTACAGTTGAAAAAATGAGAAATGGAAATAATGAACATGCAGAGTATTAAAAACATACAGTAATGGACTCTCAAACCAACAGGATATTGGTAAATGGCTTGACATCTGTGCAAACACCTCCTGGTCAGACTGAGTCCCAGCAGACTCGAGACAAGGGGAGGACAGCTTTTCTCCCCATTTCTAAGTTCTGAGGAAGGTAGGTTTTACAGTGCTAATTAAACTACAATCCAAAATGACACAAGAGGCTTATGAATAAGCAAGTTAAATAGCTCAAAGTAATCAACCCACACTCACACTTATGATTTGGATTATTATGATGATTATTGCCTCATAATCTATATTTTTACTAGCCTTTTCTTTTTATTCCAATCATAATTTTAACAACTCTACATCTCTGACTAAAGGAACTGCTGGAGCTTTACAGGTAGTCTGGTGAGCGATCAAATTCAAGTAGCTACATAAAATCTGCTCAGAATATTTCACGAATCCTCCTGTTACTATGCTAAGTGTCAGCAACAGCAATAGTTTGTGACTGCTTCTGACAGCGTGCTTCCCACTCCACAGACTTCTTTCCCCAACTTCCTCCTTCAGCCTGGCCTGGCACAGGAAGACAACCAGCAGTGACGCTGAAAACACCCTCCTAAAGCAGATTAACAACCACAAGCCTGACTCAGCTGAGGGGCTGAAAGAACTGACAGCAAACACCCAGTTCAACAGCTGTGGGCCAATAGAGCATGCAGCTGAAAACAAAATATGACTGTGAGTCAATCATCTTACCCCATAAATAGTGAGCTGCCCAATAGCCCCACAGTTTCTCCTGCATGGCAGTGGGCTGCAGAACAGGATCTTCCCTTGAGCAGGGACACCTCTCAAGGTTACACCTGCACAGAGATCTTGATGTTAAGACACCTTCACAATACAGACCTTTGGTAAACAACTAATAGCTTCTTTTAAGCTTTGTTAGCTTCACTGAGATGGCAGCTTAGATTGACTGTACACATATGATCCCTTGGACATAAACCATTGACCAGCTCTGTGACTAAGAGTGGATCCACTCTTACAGGTAGTTCAAGAAGTTTAGAAAGCAAGGGGGTCTGCTCTGAGCCTCTGAACAGAAGGATCTCCTGTGTTTGTGTGTTTAAACATACCCTCTTATGCAGTAAATAATCAAGTGTATCCAGCCATCTAAAATCTTGTTTTTTTCTATTAAATCACAACATTATAGCTATGTTATAGCAATGAATATATTCCTGCCTCTCTCTTTTGAGTGACGTATATAGTGTAGTTGTTTCCATTTGTGACAGTACACTATAAATCAATTTTATAATCTTGTCTGCACTGCCAAAATAGATGTAAAGATTTACTAAATTAATCATATTCACCACTTAAATGTTCACTATGATATGGAAGATCAATACAATGCAGCCTTTGGATAGATTTTAATCAACACTTTGAAGAATGCCGAACGTTTCTAGAAGGGATTTTAGAGCACCTGAGAGTTTAACAGTTTTATTAATTACATCTATACAGGTATTATTTCAGCCCATGGCATACATGCCTACCAGTACATATAACATCTGCATTTATGTGGGGATTTTGCTGTGCATATCAGAGTGACAGAGCATGATAGAATGATGACATATTAATGGGTGTGGATATTTCTGGGAACTTGGGCATGGGTTGGTCGCCTACATTTTTATGTGTGTTGATGATACCAGCAT